TGGACCTCTTGTGACGAGGGCGCCCCCTGTCGCGCTGACACAGAGGCTGGTAGTGGGTCAGACAGGCACAGACAAGGGTGGTAGTGGGTCACACAGACACAGACAAGGGTGGTAGTGGGTCAGACAGGCACAGACAAGGCTGGTAGTGGGTCACACAGGCACAGACAAGGGTGGTAGTGGGTCAGACAGGCACAGACAAGGGTGGTAGTGGGTCAGACAAGCACAGATAAGGGTGGTAGTGGGTCAGGCACAGACAAGGCTGCTAGTGGGTCAGACAAGCACAGACAAGGGTGGGAGTATATGCAATTCTTGACCGCTAAACTCGTAGAATACGCTTCTCCTTGTGGAAGGTTGACAAGACACAACGCACAATACATTTAACATTCTTAAGAACACAAAATTGACCCCCCTTTCACCCCCCTCTCTGAAGCACGTCAACCCCCCCCCCCACCTTCCCCCTGACCCCTCAAAGGTCACCCTCCCTTCCCTCCTCGCCCCTCTCACAAGCCCCTTCCCTCCACCTCCCCCATCCAATTCCTCAAATTAAAGGCTGCTTGTGGCGCGGCGGCGGCAGGTTAAGCAGAGGGCGGGGCGACTGTGCCGGGCGGGAAAGAGCGCGCCGATGTCACCTTCACCCGCCACGATTTTATATTAAGAAACAGGATTTGTGTCCCCCAGAGGCAGCCTACACCTCGTGCTGCACACCCACCCAGGAGGCCGAGACGAGAGACAGGATGGTAGACGGGGTAGGGAATAGACGGGGAGAGCCGGTGGACGGGGTTGGGAGTGACGGAGACATCAGACAATAACTCTCATATGTCTGTCTTGCTTACGGGAGACAGTGAAGACTTGTAATGTCTCCTGCAGTATCCTTGACGCAAACTCCCCCCCCCCTCCTCGCCAACCAATGGCTGGGAGAACATTTAGCCCTGGAGAACAGGTGCCCGGACAATATTAGCCTGGAGAACAGGTGTCTGGACAATATTAGCCTGGAGAACAGGTGTCTGGACAATATTAGCCTGGAGAACAGGTGCCCAGACAATATTAGCCTGGAGAACAGGTGTCCGGACAATATTAGTCTGGAGAACAGGTGTCCGGAGAACATATGGCAGCTTCTGCTGGTTCATTAAGCTAGAATTTTAGTTCAGTATATTTTGTCGACCATAGACTACTGAAGGCAATTTGCATTTAAATGATGAAAGGTTCAATATGTGGGAGCACTCATTACACATTCGGGAAGCTGGGACTTGCATTATTTACATGTATGTGTGTATATATATGTATATATTCTCTCCGTGCTATTTCCCCTATGATGAACACCAATTAATTGTTGGGGCCAATATTGAAATTATTCATTAAACCTTAATTGGCATACAGGCCAAACATTGATTACTTATACCGTACAGAACTGTTGATACGAGGCGCCTATGGTGCTGTGGTGGCACCAGCTGTGGTGGTGGTGGCACCAGCTGTGGTGGTGGTGGCACCAGCTGTGGTGGTGGTGGCACCAGCTGTGGTGGTGGTGGCACCAGCTGTGGTGGTGGTGGCACCAGCTGTGGTGGTGGTGGCACCAGCTGTGGTGGTGGTGGCACCAGCTGTGGTGGTGGTGGCACCAGCTGTGGTGGTGGTGGCACCAGCTGTGGTGGTGGTGGCACCAGCTGTGGTGGTGGTGGAGGGGAGAGGGGGAAGAGGGGGAAGAGGAAGTCAAAGGTCTGGGGCTAGCCTCACACAACCTTACATGGTGATTGATAAGTTTATGGAGTGTCATTAGGGGTGGAGGGGTCGAGGCCGGGCCATATGCTCCCCTGAAAGAGAATTGACTTCCACACCTTCCCCTTTCACGAAGTTGATGGATAGGAAATTTGCAACCAAGAGGCAATAGAATTCATCATTCTTTTAGTGTATTCAAATATTGACAAACAATACCAGTGTTCAGATGGCAGAGTTTCAGAGTGCATTGTTAGGGGAGAGGGAGACAGGGAGGGTGTATGATGATGGGGGAGGGTGAATGTGTGTGGGGGGCGAGAGGCATGTGTGTGTGGGGGAGGGGCGGGGAGCATGTGTGTGTGGGGAGGCATGTGTATGTGGGGGGGGGGGGGTTCGGAGGCATGTGTGAGGGGGACGCCTGGCCACAGGGGTTAACCCGTACACTGCTCAGTACCTCACCTAGTATTCACCAGGCACAAGTTGTGACCCCGGGAGGACTATACGCCCCCCCTTCTATACCCATATACAGCAACCCACACTGTGAATGAACTCAAACCACCAACGCGCGCACACACACGCACGCACGCGCACACACACACACACACACACACACACACACACACACACACACACACACACACACACACACGCGCACACACGCACACACACACACACACACACACGCGCACACACGCACACACACACACACACACACACACACACACAGTAGACACTAACCTGCACATCCTCACTTCTCGCCCACGACATGAACCAACCTGAAACAAACACAAGAAATGTTAATAATATAAACTAACAACACTGAAAGTTTTACAACACTAATGTGAGTTTACAATAATCAACAATGCCTTCTCTTGAACTCTTAAGACAAACTCCTGAGATTTATCTCTATCAACAAATACAATGCTTCTATATAATTTAAGGGTCAAAATTGGAAGCCAGAAGATTAGAGCTAGCGTCACTCAACTTTTCACGATGACACGTTGGTGGTGTGTCATAGGTTGGTTGGAATTGGCCACATTGCCTGCCCTTCATGAAATATAGATCCCTGCGATTTTGATTATATCTGATATCGAGATTTGTTTTCCGTAAAGTTTGTAACCATTTTTCTTCTTCGTGATATTATAGTTTCTGAGCGAGAGAGGGAGGCGTAGGGAGAGAGGGAGGCGTGGGGAGAGAGAGGGAGGCAGGGGGAGGCAGGGGGAGAGGTTGGAGGTGAGAGGGGAGGACAGGAATGAAAGGTGGGGAAAGGAAACGAGAGGGGAGAAAAGGAGTGGGGAATGATTAGAAGGGGACAGGAAAAGTGAGTGGAGAGTGGGAGAGAGGCAGAGGAGGAAGGGAAGGAGAGGTGGGAGAGAGACCCAGAGACCCCATCTAGTGTCCAATCAAATTAAGCTTGCTGAAATTATTTTGAAGTTGACAAGATGTCAGGTCCCCTCGTCTTCAACCTGTCCTCTTAAAAATAACGTCGCTTTTGGCCGTTTGTCCGTATGGCCGAATATAGACGTAATTTTAAAATTAAAAAAAAAAGAATATAAATTTGAGATTTTTTTCAACACCAGTAAGTTAAGGGTCCTCTGGTAGGTTAGATGGGCAGGAAATTCTCATAAAGTTTCAAAACGTTATGAAAAACGTTAATGAAAAGAATCCTCTTCTAAGCTTGCCGAGTAAGCCGGACGACTCAAACAGAAAACGGAACAGAACGTCACTTTTGTGAGTCGATTTCATTTCAAATTACGTCCAAATTTGGCCATAGCGCGCATACGAGTCAAAAGTAGCGTTATTTTTAAGAACATTGTCAGATCCCTTCGTCCATGTATGCCAGTGTCAGCCCAAAAACTATCCAAAAGCCCCTTGGAAGAGGAAATACACTGTATTTTGGCGCCAAAATCCCACATTGGCGGGAAATCGTCGTAGCGAGACTCAGAGGTAAACAAACAATCCCGTTTTCTATGCGTGGGTCGGTACCTTAGGTTCGCGCGTTTTAACTTAAATTAATACATTATTTTTTGTTCGTTGTGGCAACACTGAAGACCAGGCCGCCCAACGAGCACCGACAGTATGGTGGGAAATATATATATATATATATATATTAATTAGTAACAATTATTGGAAAGCCTCTCGGATTGACTTCATCCAATTAAGCTCCAAAGCCTTTAACAGAAAATATAAACAAGAAATTTGAAAAACTCATTATTACTGTTGGTGCTGGAGCTGCTACTGTTGGTGCTGCTATCGTTACTGCTTGTACTGTTACTGTTGCTTCTGCTACTGTTGCTGGAGCATACCTGAAGGACGTTTCGAGAGTTCTACTCCCAGTGCGCTCGTGACAATATGGTCCAACAGGCTGTTTGTTGCTTGGAGCGGCTCGCAGGCCCACATATCCACTACAGCCTAGTTGGTCCAGCACTCCTTGTAAAAACTTATCTAAATGCTTCTTGAAGACATCCACGGGTTTTCCGGCAATATTTCTTATGCTCGCTGTGAGGATGTTGAACAACCGTGGACCTCTGATGTTTATACTGTGTTCTCTGATTGTGCCTATGGCACCTCTGCTCTTCACTGGTTCTATTCTGCATTTTCTTCCATGTCGTTCACTCCAGTACGTTGTTATTTTACTGTGCAGATTTGGGACCTGTCCCTCCAGTATTTTCCATGTGCATATTATTTTATGCCTTTCTCGTCTCCTTTCTAGAGAGTACATTTCCAGTTTTGAGGCGAGTCATTAATTTAGGTGCTTTGTTGTGCCTATGCGTGCCCTGTGTGTTGGTACACCCCGTTATCCTAATAGCACGTCGCTTTTTGGACGTATACTCTACTTAAGGCCAAAAACTGTCGTACTAGAAGATGGTAGCGGCTCGCGGAATTGGCATTATGTCCCGTTTTCGGTTCGTGGGTCCTCTGGTAGGTTAGGATAAGGGCACGTTTTGCTACTGGTGGGCAGAGCCGTCTTACCCCATGGCACTTGCCCAGGGCCACATGTGCATAGGGGGCCCCCACGACCATAGGACACGTTCATTATTGAAGCAAAATGTTTAAATATTTAGGTCATGATGCAAGGACACTTGTATAATATAACTCTACATCCTGGCGTGGGGACTAAATACTAAATATTTAAGATACATATTGCCAGGTGAATAACTTTCATCAGAGATGAAATGTAATGTTTTGAGTGGAGCAGAGAAGATGTAGAGACCTGCAGAGAAGGAGAAAATAGGAGAACTTCCAAAATTAGTATCATGGCTCAACACAAGAGCAATGGCTGCAACTCATACCATTCCTTCAGATATACAGCATCTACTCTTGCAATGTCAGTCACTAGTACTGCACCTTCAGATACAGTATCCAGATCTACATCCATTCCTGCAGACCATCATTGCCTGTTGTTGCTGGTGACATTTTATAAGAGGAAATGCCCAAATCTGTAACAGTAAATGAGTTTGCAATCCAAGAGACAGTATCATTAATGTTCCATGGCCCCGGATCTAACACAATAGACTACTGGAGTCGTAGTGGGTCCTCATCATGATAGCAACCTTACAGACTCACGCAGAGAATATAATACAGCTGGAGTAAAGAATATCAAGGCAAGGTATTTACCAATGTGTTCAAATGTGAACTGCTGATTGGAGCATATGTAAAACGTGAATGGCTACTCTATTGACCATCCCAAGGTCGTTTGTACTGCTTTGTATGTCACCTATTGTTCAAGAATCTTTGTTACCTTGGGGTTCAATGACTGGAAGCACAGCATTGTTACTGTAGAACATGAAATGGAGAAGAACATGGCAAGTGCATGACAGCATATTTGATAAGGCATAAAGAAACTAGAAGTGTAGATTATTCATTACTTAAGTAACACTGTTCAGGGCAGGAATATTGGCATAAAGTGTTGACACGTGTGGCTTCTGCAATTCGCTTTCTTATCTCTAGATGTTTGCTATTTCATGGAGAAAATCAGATTATTGGGTCAGCAAAAACTGGCAAGCTGAACAAATCCACAAGGGCCGTGACGAAGGTTCGAACCTACGTCTAAGAGGATCCCAGACGCTGCCTTTTACCATGTCGTAGCTCAGTTGATTAAGGCAGCGTCTAGGATGCTCTCGGACGTAGGTTCGAACCCTCGTCACGGCCCTTGTGGATTTGTTCATTTGATGCATCACGCTGTTGTGATTTCTGTGTGTACCTGACATATATTTAGGTATACTAGAGCTGCTGAGTGAATTTGACCCTTGCTTGGAGGAACATCTCAACATGTATGGAAATCCTGGAAAAGGTAATCCGTCACATTTATTTGCAAATGTTTGTGAAGAATTTATTGAATTAATGTGACAACAGGTTCTTGGTACTATTCTTGAAGAAGAGTCAGTTTTATTCATTAAGTATAGATTCCACTCCAGACATCTCACACACAGATCAACTGACATTTACTCTCCGAGACATTAAAGGCTGTGAGTCTGTGGAACGTTTCTTGATGTTCCTCCCCATCTTGTCTCGTGGAGCAAAGGATCTAACAGACACTGTCGTGGATTTTCTTAATGAGAACAAAATTCCGCCATCAAACTGCCGTTGTCACACGGTAATGCCTCGCATGTGTCTGGACGATTACAAGCACGGATTCATCAACTCTATGAGTTTATCATCCATGTGCCCTGTGTTGGACACATGTGTCCTGTGCTGGACACATGTGTCCTGTGTTGGACACATGTGTCCTGTGCTGGACACATGTGCCCTGTGCTGGACACATGTGTCCTGTGCTGGACACATGTGTCCTGTGCTGGACACATGTGTCCTGTGCTGGACACATGTGTCCTGTGCTGGACACAGCCTCAACTTGGTGGGAGTAAAAGCAGCAGTGTTGTCTACAGACTGTCAAATTCTTTGACTTTGTTTAGGATCTGTACTGAACGGCGACCTGCATGAAGCGAGACCGTCGCTCTACCGTCCAGCCCACGTGGTTGGCCAATGAAAAGAGAAAGAAACAAAGGACAGAAAGAGAACTACAAAGAAAGAGGAGAAAGAGAAACATGAGCGAAGATATGAACGAGAGAGAGAGACAGAGAGAGACAGAGACAGAGAGACAGAGAGACAGAGAGAGAGACAGAGAGAGAGAGAGAGAGAGACAGAGAGAGAGAGAGACAGAGAGACAGAGACAGAGACAGAGAGACAGAGAGAGACAGAGAGAGAGACAGAGAGAGAGAGAGAGAGAGACAGACAGAGACAGAGAGACAAAGAGAGAGAGAGAGAGAGAGACAGAGAGAGACAGAGAGAGACAGAGAGACAAAGAGAGAGAGAGAGAGAGACAGAGAGAGACAGAGAGAGACAGAGAGAGACAGAGAGAGACAAAGAGAGAGAGAGAGAGAGACAGAGAGAGACAGAGAGAGAGAGAGAGAGACAGACAGAGAGACAAAGAGAGAGAGAGAGAGACAGACAGAGAGAGACAGAGAGAGACAGAGAGAGACAGAGAGAGACAGAGAGAGACAAAGAGAGAGAGAGAGAGAGACAGAGAGAGAGAGAGAGACAGAGACAGAGAGACAGAGACCAGAGATATAAAATACAGAATAGATTTCACGAGGTCGTAAAGTTATTCACACTGAACCCCACAGCTTCTCGCAAGAGCGGAAGCTGCTGAAACAGCCGAGCCGCAGCCATGTTGCAATTTTGCACAAAAGTAGAAGGAAGAGAATGAGCCAAACGAGAAGATTGTAGAAATCTCTAAGATCAAAAGTAGATAAAAAGAGAGAGATCGAGAGTATACGGCATGAAGACAACTGATGGCTGGAAAGGCAGGGGCCCAGGAGCTAAAGATAGGTCAAGAAAACTTCGTGAAGAACCCGCTGGTGACACCGAGGTTCCAATCCCAGGCCATCTATTGTTTTTGTTATAGATTCAGCTACTGGGAACAAAAAGTCCAAGTAGCACGGGTTATGGTGAGCCCGTGGAGGACTTACCTGGCACAGGAGCGGGGTTGTAACTTGCCTCCCAAGCCAGCATGAACGGGCTCTCATATACTGAGTGTGACATTGTCCTACTGGAGGAAGGAGAGCCGTCTGTGCTGGAGGTAGTGAAGAGACAGTGATGTGTGGGGGGGGGGGGGGGAGAGACTCCGTGTACACAGTCACCCCCCCCCCCCTTACTATGCACTAGGAATGGAATACATTAGACAGCGATGTGGTGAAGGCTGACTCCATACACAGTTTCAAATGTAGATATGATAAGGGCCCAGTAGGCTCAGGAACCTGTACATCAATTGATTGACGGTTAAATGGCGGGACCAAAGAGCCAGAGCTCAACCCCCGGAAACACAACTAGGTAAGCACACACACACACACACACACACACACACAAAGTAATTCAGTTAAGGTGTTCTTTGCTAATTGTATTTGTGGTAGCTATATAGGGATAGTGGCATAGTGGTAATTATGTGGGATCTCAGCTGCAGCTCTTGGGCGCCAGCTGCCGCCTGTGGTCAAACCAAACCAGCGTGTATGATACTACACACACACGCACTGGCCCAGGCCACTACACACACACACACACACACACACACACACACACACTGGCCCAGGCCACTACACACACACACACAATGAAAACCTTGTTATTTAATAAGCAAAAAAAAAAAATGGAAAAAATTTAATATTTCACGAAATATTTCGAGAATAAGAGACAGATTATTATTATATATATATATATATATATATATATATATATATATATATATATATATATATATATATATATATATATATATGCGAACAAGCCTGAATGGTCCCCAGGCATATATGCAACTGAAAACTGTTTCTCACGTGTGTTACAAATGTTCGCATTTGTCAACCAGTTGTGAATATATTTATATATATTTATATATATATATATATATATATATATATATATATATATATATATATATATATATATATATGACAATGTCAGACCACGGAGGAAAAATGAAACAGGAATTTCCTTAAGTACTTTCGTATATTAAATACATCTTCAGAAGGTGAAGATGTACCTTCTGAAGATGTATTTAATATACGAAAGTACTTAAGGAAATTCCTGTTTCATTTTTCCTCCGTGGTCTGACATTGTCACATTCTTAATCACGTGTTTATTTTCGTGATATACACACATGTATATATATATATATATATATATATATATATATATATATATATATATATATATATATATATATATATATATATATATATTATATATTATATATACCAGTACTCTAGGAATTCATGAAATCAACTTAGAATGAAAACTAATGTACGTTGTTAATAATGTTCACCTTTGCTGTAGCAAGACGAGTGCCCAAACATTACCGTAATTGTTGCTGTCATTTGACTCTCACTGTGACGGCAATTCATTATGTGACCTTTTCAATTGCACAAGTTGCATATCACTAAAACATTTCAAGAGCGATTTTAAACCTTTCCGAGTGTCGTATTAAAATTAAACGTGACACCAGCAGGTTTAAAATTGAACTGTGTTAAAACTCAGACAGTGGTGGGAGTTTGGACAGCAATTCTGACAGGTGGAAGGTATGGACAGTGTTAAGAACGAGCCTCCAAGATCAACCACCAATAGTGGCACCACTTGGTGGGCCAGCCAGAGGCTTGGGGACCCGCCCAGGAATGTCCCTGTACAAAAAGTGGCACCACACCACTTAACACAATCCTCCAATTGGTTGGACACTTGTGAACAACAAGTCAGGAATCATCAAGAGTTTGTCTCCTCTTACGAAAGCTGTACACCCTTCCCTCGGGCACGGCCGCTTAGTCTGAGTTCATCACACTCTGAGCTGGAAAACGCTGCCAGCTTGTTCTCGAACCTCGGTTCTAAATTCTTATATTTTCATTTACATATATACAAGAGTTCTTACATTCTCGTACAGCCACTAAAACGCGTAGTGTTTCGGGAAGGCCTTAAGTCAAATTTTTTCCCGGAATACGACCCGCCAAATCGTTTAGCAACCAGGTACCCATTCACCGCTGGGTGAACAGAGGTTACAGTTAAGGATTGGCGCCCAGTCAATCCTCCCCAGCCGGGATACGAACCCAGGACAAAGCGCTAGCGAAACGCTAGGCGAGTGTCTTACCACTGGATCTATCAGTTGATTTTGTAAATGCGCCCAAGAAAGATAGTGTGCACTCTACATTATTAAAACAGTTAACACTGAAAAGCATCACTGAAAGTACTCAGAGTATGAGTAACGATGTGTATCAGTGCTATACTGACGGCTCTGTAGAAGAAGGTGGACGATGTACCGGATGTGCATGTAACATATTTGAACAATCTTCTCTCGTACATACAGCGCGTCAATGACTGGGCAAGTACAACTCAAACCGAACT